AATTTCATGTCATTAGAACCTCTAGTAATATATTTACTGAGAAAAATGGTGATGTGTTCAATACTTAGTTTACCCGCTGTATTTTCATAAGTGCTTTGGAAATTGCTGAGCTAAATTTTGGATTAGCGCTGCCCACCACTGGTTGGAAGGCACGTATCAGTCATTTGTATGCCTGATAATATGCATTAAGGTGAATTGGTTTTATCTCCTCCCTGCGACACTGTCCAACTTTGGAATGACTTCAGTACCCACACCATCCACTGTAACCAGATGTTTACGGTTTCCCTGACAAGGGAGTCYTTTTGCAAGCGTTAGCCAGCTGCCTTCTCAGGTTCATATCTCAAAAAGTACCCAATTGATTTATATGAAACTTTTAGGAAATATTTATTWCTCTTTCAATATGGTTTATTACACCACATAGAACAGTTGAAGTTTGAAACATTTCAGAGCACGAGTCAGAGCTCAGCTCCGTTCAGGTCATCATGCTACAAATAAAGCAGTCCACTTGGTTTCATTTCAGCAATAAGCTGCTTGGAGGTCTTGTCCGGCGGTCCTTGAATGTTTATTCTCTTCCCTGAACAACAGAAGAGCAGAGGGGAGGGCAGAGGAGGGTAACCTCCATTGCAGGGCCTCTTTGCCTGTAAAATATGAAAATAAAATTAATAACGCCACCTCAGATTTTGATTAAACTTTCTACAAGGTGGTAGAGGAGGGACAGTGTGGACACATTGTATGGGACTGAGAACTACTAATAATGGCCATTTAAGTAAGTCAGGATCTGTTTTTTTTTCCACGATGTTCTCTTATGGGCTCTGTAGATTTTTAAATGCTTTTGTATTGTTTTCATTTTTAAACATTTTTGTGCTTTTATTGTATTTTAATCAATGTAATTTTTTGTCATGTTGTTAGTTTTTTTTTCTATTTGTATGTTTTGCACCCTAGATTATTTTTTTTGCGTCTGCTATTATTTAATGAACAATAATAAATGTCTGTGTGTGTTTGTGTGTCAGGCTAAAGGGAAGGAGCGCCAGTGGCTAAAGAACCAAGTTATGGGAGAACTTGATGATGCCAAAATAATCGATGGACTAACTGGAGAAAAGGCCATCCATAAACGCAGAGGAGAGCTGGACCCTGAGGTTTGTGGATGTTTTCTATCACAGTAGATATTTGTGTTCTTAAGCTTTCCTGTTTTTAATCAACCTAGTCTTCATACATGGATAGTTTAAACTGTACAGTGGGGTGTGAAAGTTTGGGCAGCCTTGTTAATTTTCATGATTTACTTTTATAAATCAATGAAATGATTGGATAAAAAAATATCAGTTAAATATATCATGAGCACACCAACCATAATATGGATGCCTTGTTTTTCTAATGTACTTACTAGGGGTGCAACAATACATGTACCCGTATCAAACAGTGCTGTATGGAACAATACAGATTTTAAAAATTAACTTTATCAACTTGTCTTCTGAAGATGCTCTGTGTTCAAGGATCAGTGGATCTGTGTTCGACTACTCCACCTAGGCTGTATTTTTCAGCACAGATCCACTGAGAAACTTGCTTTTTCAGCAGCATTTAATTTAAATAAATTACAAGTTAAAAGGGGCATGGACATTTCTCTTTTTTGTATCGAAAAAATATCGAACCGTGAGACTAAAGTATCGAACCGAACCGTGAATTTCCTGTATCGTTGCAGCCCTAGTATTTACCTAAGTGTTGCATATTTTGGTCAAGCGTAAAGGTCTACATTAAAATGATTGCAGGGCAGGCA